TAGCTCATCTCTGGTAGAATTACCTGATATTTTCTGGAGTTTCATTTAGCTTTTTCATGGCCCTGTCACATTTGTGACTCAGTTTTCGTGGGACGGACTAATAAACCTGGACTCTTCACTTCTGTCATTTCCAGCAGCTGCCGGCTCACAGCACAAATTCTCGGTATTAACCCAGTCCCTGGCTTTGCATTTCATGCTATTAAATTTCATCTTGTTTTTCTCACTCCAGTTCTTGAGGTCATCTAGTTCTTCCTCTATGATATCCTGATCTTCTTTCTTTTAAGGGTGCCTCTACAAACTTCAGTGGGGCCTTCTGAACACTCTCTTCCTTCTATACTGAGGTCATTCACAAAATTTGGATGGGAGTAGGCTCAAGATTGACCCTTCAGGAATTGCAGCAACAGCCCGGTAGTTGTCTGGGAATATCTTTGCTTTAACCAGCACTTTGTCCACCTCAGGACTGTTGTAGAAATCCATGGTTTGTAATTTCCCATGTGATACCTTGCTGGTGCTTCATGAAGGACAGACTGTGGCTGCCCCAATTCCCTCAGCAGTTCTCTTATCAGAGAAAGCTGTTGGGTTAGTGGCATGTGAGCCACTCTTGAAGATTTTTTATAAATTTTCCTTCCATTTACTTTATTACTGCAGTGTAGTAGCATGAGTAACGGACCCCTTGGTAGGATTCCTGAGTGCTAGGTATTGCAGAAGCACTGAACAAAACTGATCCCTACCCCAAGGAATATATTGCAACTTAATTCTTTTTTTTTTAAGGACTTGCAGTGTGTTGAGTTCATAATGGGTCTGTCCTGCCCAGTTGTTTCACAGCTCTGTTTCACATCTTTGATTTCTCTGGTGTGATCCAGAGTTGCAACTCTGGCTCCTACCTCTAATGCAGAGATTATTCTTTTAAGCGCAGTGTGCAAATCTGGAAAATATGCATTTAATGTTGATGTAAAAAAACAGCTGTGGCCCTTTCTAAATACACATGCTGTAATCTACACATCAGTGAATTTCAGATCTTAAAAGTTAAGGGGATTTTAATTACTGATGAGCTTTGCTGTGCTCCTGCTTGTTCCCCTTTGCTCCAGTCCTGGAAGGTGAAGATCCAGCTCACCTCACTCAACTCTGACTTTGCCTCTCCCTGCTGGGTCAGTCTTCCTGCACCTTCTCTAGTGTAAGCCAAGAGCTATTACACTTACAAAACTTGGAGGTGAAGAGGGAAAAGGGAGAAGTTTGGAGAGATGTCCGAAAATCTAGAGAGAAACCACTGCCAGTATGGCTGCAGCTTGGATGTTAAAACACTGGCTGGTGTATGTCTGTGCATGTCTGTACCTGGGAAAATCCTCCATAGGACCAAGACCATGTGTGCTAAAATTCTGGTCCTCCCCTGATTTTATTCACCAATTATTCAGCCCCAATATATATTTTTTTTACTGTAGGAGTTTCAGACAGATCCCATCCTCAGTCATTGTTCAGCTCTTCTTTGCCAACAAGAGGATTTTTGGGTGGTGATTGAAGACAGCATGCGACCTTAAGCCTAGGGACAGTTGTCCCCAGTGAAGGCCTTAGTAGAAACTTCAGAGTAACCTAACCTATGTACTATGTTATTCTTTATAAACAACTATAGTTTGGCCAGCAAGGGTGTTTGGTCTCAGATAGTACGTGTCAGTCTCATTTTGTTGTGCAAAATGCAATCCCACGTGAAAATTCAACTGAACTTCACGGTAAAAATGTCTTTACTCTGTAAGAGCATAGGTGGACAGCTCTGATCACAGGAGCAGAACATCCCAAGCTGACTCTTCCCTCCCTCAGCTATTAGAAGATTCGCATCAACACTTGCAGTTCCAGACTACTAAGAGTCAAGGACTTTTCTTTTTTTGGTCGATCTATGTTTTAAACTTTCCTTAACAGAAGGGATTTGAAAAAATGAAATACACAGTACGCGTACACACACACACACAAGTTTGTCTTAAGGCAGTCGAAGTGCTCATCTGTCGGCAGGGGACTGATTAATGCGATGTTAGTTCTCGGAGCTGTGTGTCTCTGCTTTCGTGACTTTCCTGATGCCAGCATGTGGCATTAGACTTGTGATAATGACTGGAAGGAAGACGCATTTATTCTTGCGTAGTGGGGGGCTTTTCAGGCTCTCAGACAAAGGCATAACAAGATCTAGCAACTGAAAGTTGGACAAATTCAACCTTGAAATAAGACATGGTTTCCTAGCTGCAAGGAAAATTAAAGTTTGGAACAGCTTGTGAGAGGAAATGGTAGAGTTGCCATTGCTTGGAGTACAGACAAGATTTGCTATCTCTTTGAAAACGGTTTCTTTAATCCAGCATTTTGGAAGAGTTCTGTGGTTTGTGTGTGCAGGAGGTCAGTTGAAAGGAGTATAGCAGTGCTGTCCGGTCTTGGTGGGTGAATTACTGGATATGATTAAATGACCTTTTTGGTTTGGGTCAGTGAACTTCTATAATGAAAGGATTGGCCGCAACATGGAGAGGGCTGTGAAATGAAACAATATCTTAGAGAAAATAAAATTGAACATCTGTCTTACTGTCTTTTTGACTGTTAATAATTAAAGTGTTGCTCTTTATCAACTGTGTGGTTAAAACCTGCATAAATGTTAATATCAAAGCATTTCAGTGGCAGAAGAGGACTTTGATTCTAAGTGACTCTTTGTTTTTTAAGGATCTTTCTCTTTACAGTGTTTGTCTTTTTGCTGTGTATTCTTCATTAGAGCCCATTTTATATCGATTCTCCTCTGGAAGGTGGTGGGAATGGAAAGTGCCTTCGACCACTGCAAAGTGCAGCAATAACACACTGCTGCAAGTGTTACTATTTTTAGTTCCCAGGGGAAATCTGAAGCTATAATTATCATTATATTTTCATTCTCTTAGCCTTCAACAACAAACTGTAAAGGCTATATTCAAATTGCCTGCTTTAAAGATCTTGAGAAAGAGAGAGAGCAATCTGAATTGCTCTATGAAATTTTGATTTCTAAGATTCACCAAGTCTGAATATGTGCAAAATTTAGGGGATTTGAATGCAGCCTTAAAATCTCTGTGTTTTTCCGACATGATCATCTATCCAACTGTTTTATTTCAAGGAGGTGCTCTCAAAATGTTCCTGCAACTTTAATAGCAGTAGATAAGATTTTCAGACGTTACTCGAAGTAGCTGAACTTTGCTGCTGTTGAAGCTAACAATAAAGCCTTCTCAGTGCTTTGATGGCAAAAGGATTAGTCCAGTAGAGAGTGCTTTTTGAAGTCAAGTTCAGTTGCTTCTGTATTCACAAGCTTTAGAGCTTTGCAGTAATAGAGTGATCACCTACATAATTGTAATTGATGGCAGACCAGAGTACTCAGCAGTAAAGTTTTGCTACCTGAAATTTCTTGACAAGTGGCAGGGTTCAGTTGTTCTGCTTCATCCCTCTCCTGGTTTGGATCCTGTTGACAATTCACTGGATAGTCTTTGGTAAGGAATTCAATCTTTCTTTGCTTCAGGTGCACTATCTCCAAAATGGGAATATACCATGCTTTTCTAAAATCCATTCAATTTTTCTTCCTGCTTTTCATACACGTGAGCATCTGGCAAGCTAAAGACAGCTGATGTTGCCGTGCTGGCAGGGCAGTGGTGATAGCTAGTTCTCCGATAGCTGGTTCTCCAGAGCTCTGCTCCACGGGAGCGCTACAGTAGATGGCTGAAGTTTTGAAAGAACTCCTTTAACTGGACATTTAGCTTTTCTTAATATATGGCTCCAACTGGAGGTGCCATGTGGTTGAAGATGAGAGGGAACAGAGTTCAGGTGAAGATCATCTTGTAGAGGCTCTTTCTACATGAGATGGGTTGATGGTGTGGGTGGGTTGATGGTACAACTGTTGGCAAAAACAGCCAAATAGATTATGTCTCTTCAGGTGTTACTTGTCTTCACAACTGAAAAGTCCTTCTATCCAGGGTGTAACGCATGAGCAATTTTACACATTTTTATTTTGCGAGTCAGCTGCAGGGTTTCCCCACAGACACAGAGCACGCTTCATGCATCCTTGCCTTCGGGTCCACAGTGAATAACAGGAGCGTGCTTGGCTGGGAGCGATACTTGGAAGCTGCTTGGCTGCTGGCCCACGCAGTGTGAAGGTACCTGTTTATCCAGGACTAGATCCTGGCTGTAGTCGTGGACAGGAAAGACTCCAGGGCACCTGGTGCCCAGTGTATTGTCATCTAGAACTCCCTTGCAGGGAAAGGCAATAATTTTCTGTGTTCATGAGCGCTGTTTTCTGCAGCGTTCCTTTGGGAACATGGCTGGAAGAGGTGCTTCCCAGCTGGCCAACTTTCGCAAGTCTCAGCAGGTGCGGTACTGCCCACTCCACATTCACTGCCAACACCCTCAATGCTGAGGATCTTGGGAAGTTGCCATTGAATTCAAAGTTGGAGCCAAGACTAAATTTTACTTCTTTCAGAGCAGAATTATATAAAAGGCAGTGGAAGGGTTTCTATGCAGTGTTGTAAGGAAAAATTTCAAACCAGTCAACAGAGCCATTGGGTTTTTGAGGACAAACCCTTTTCTACTGACTATTCTGCAGCCAGAATGCCGCAGCACTAAGGAACTGAAAGGAAACTGGCTTTGATTTTTCATTGTCCATCAACATAACAAACATAATAAATAATGACAAATTACATTATGAGTTTTACTAATCAAAATTAATATTAAAGTAGTTGATGTCATTTTGAGTGAGGTTTCTCTTTAATTGTTATATTTTGTGAGACTTGCCTTGGTTACTGAAAACCTCGTGCTGCTCCGATAACAGTATGAAAGTCAGTAGCTTAAGAGCTGGAAGGAGGCTAAGCAGGTAAGAGGAGCGCTCTGTCATTGTATCAATGGATTTGTGTTTACAGTTCGTTAGTCCATGTTTAAAATTACCATGCTGCCAATTTAAATCACAGCTGGATTCATACAAATTTTGAGATTATCACTTGCTGAACAAAATCCTTCTTTTGCTTTAGCTTGCAGATTCGCTTGTGCCCTTGGAGATTAAGCCTGGTATTTCCTTAGCAACAGTTTCTGCCGTGTTGCATACTAAAGACAACAAGCATGTGCTGCAGGTACAGTATAATGGGAAAGGGAGAAAAATATCCTTACACTGGGTTTCCTGCCATCTGGGACCCCAGCTGTTGTCATGAGGCAACCCCTCCAACAACTCGTCACCGGAGCAGAGTCCTTGTCAGATGCTTTCTCTTGGCATGTACGAGTGAGGAATTACACTTAGAGAGTGGGATGCAAATAAATCTCTCTACCCTCTTTTCGTTGGCCATGTGCCTGGCTAAGATAAAAGTGAGAAGTGAGATTATTCCTGAAGAGAGACTGCAAATCATACTGCTGTCTGCTGTAACCTGCACACCAGGATCAGCATCAGTCAGCCTCTCATGGACTTAGAACTGAGGGTCAGAGGAGAGAGATGACCTAAAACATTAGACATGTGAAGGGACTGTCTGCCTTAAGTTGTCCTGTTCCCCAAGAAGCAGATTGTGCCTCCTTGTGCAAAGTGAGTGTGTAATCTTCCCACCACCTCCTTTAGGCTGACACTGCAAGTCCTGGCATTAGTGCTCCGCCAAGGGGATGACGTCTGGTGGACCTGCTCAGCAGTGGATGCCCCAGTCCCCTTTCTCCTTTGATACATGAGCATGCAGGGCATTCAGTGAAGCCACACTCTGCATGATGCTGCCTCTCCTGCTGGGCAGCAGAGCTGGGCTGGGCCTGCTACACTTGGGAAGAAGCCTAGTATGGTAATGTCTCTAATCCAGGGACATAAAGATCGGTTAAGGATTTATATCAGTGCACAGCAGACAGGCTGTCTTACTTTTTCCAAGTCAGTTCCCTAGAAATGCTAGGCAACACTGAAAAAATTGAAGTATTGTAATGCAATTGGCTGCTTTCTCCTTTGTGTTGTTCATTTACTCTCTTCTCTACTCTGTTTCCTGATGCCAGATAAACTTAGACATAGGCTTAAAATGCCAGAGCCTTCATAAATGGATGGAAGTAAGCCAACACAGCGGTATCTGTCTGTATTGGCTGAGTCTGGGACCTCTGAGAGTTACAGATGCTGTGTGTAGACAAGCCCCCAAAACTCAACCTACGAACACAGAACCCTGCGAGTGATTCATGCACAAATAACATGATGCATGCACGTAGGCCCACCAGCTAAAGGGAAAATGGTGGGTTTTGTGAAGTGACTCAAGTGCATCGCTGCTTGCGGAACTGGAGCCTGAGCAGGTGGCATTTCTCTCCCAAGGATGAAAAACACCCTTCCCTGGCTGTTGAAAGAAACACCGGGACATCGCAGCGGCAGGTTCAGACATGATGCTACATGATGGGAGAGACACAGAGCTGAGAGGAGCCCAGTCTGTCACCTGGAGTGTACAGAGCGCTACAAGGCAGTGGGGTTGCTTCAGGCAAATTCCCTGTGTGTTGTGCAGACACATCCCTAGCAAGTGTTCTTGCCAAAATTTTGGAGAAATTTTCCCCAGCATCTTTTTCCCAGGGACTGAGTTGCTAGTTTGCTGGGAAAGACCAGCGCTGACACTTCCCTGACCTAACTAACTTGGCACAGGACACACGGACTTACTTTACACGATAATTTCCTCCCTGTTCTTTTTATAGGAATCTGGTTTTCATCTCCATGAAATGGTCTTTCAGAAGAGCTCAGTTAACCCCACACCTTGCCCACATGCGCAGCAACACCCAGTGCTAGGTTAGCTACCGCCGCACGTGCTAACCCTGCCTCCCCCTCCCTGCTGACAGAGAAGGGGCTCAGGGAGGAGTTAAGGCAAATTGCTTTCTGAAGCAGCACAAAATTATACCCAGATCACACTCCAGTGATCTTTCAGGCACAACAGCATCTCTCACACCTCCCTGTCTGTATTCGCGGTCTTCCTAAAGACTCACTTTTCTGAGGCCAGTGAGAAATAAATTACCCACTTTTTCTCATTCCCTGAGTAGTTACTTGCTCTGAATTTGCCCGTTTCTCAACCTGTTGTGTCTTTTAGAGTGTGATTTTCAAGGCATTGACTTCTTTAAGGCATGATTCCTAGAAAATATTGCAGGGTACTTGAATGCTGAAACGGAAAGCTTCAGTCTTGAATTGAGTCAGACAGACCTTTTAAGATGACGGCGATTTGAACTAAAACTGGTACTTTATTTCTGTAAATGGTGGCTTGTGTGTGCAGAGCCGCAGTGGAGCCCGAGGCTGGGTTTCTTCTCTCCCCTTCAGCACTGCAATGTTCCCCTGTAGTCACAGAAAACAAAATCAGTATTCCTTTTCTATCTCATGTACTTGTTATTCCAACGAAATTATAATAAGCTGCTGTGATTCACTGCATTACTGTGCACCTTCTCATCCATTAGCTCCCTCCAAAACCTCCGCAACCTCCCACCAGCAAGAAGAGAAAGCGAGTGAGTGATGACGTGCCAGAGTGTAAACCTTTGAAGCCATTGCTGAGCGGCTCCATTCCTGTGGACCAGTTTGTGCAGACGCTCGAGAAGGTAATAAGTCTTTAGTGACATATGAGGATCAAGAGGATTTCTACTAATCTCAGAAATGTGCTGCTTTGCTAGCAGAGAGAGGGAGAATAATTTTAGTGTAGCTTGAAATGCAGAGGGGCTAATGAGCTGGTGAAGTGCATTAGGGAATGTGTGTCCCTGCACTGAGTACGGAGGGAACAGTTCCCTGTGGATTCATGTCCTGATATAGGGGCTTCATGCCAATCATTGCCTCCTTCCATTGCCATGGAAGCAGGGCTTTTGGGGTCACTCTGGGGGTGTGAATTTCCCCCATGTAACTTTTGGATTCATCAGCTGATTTCCAATAAATTTGAACAGTGGGGAGGAGGTCTCAAAAGCGTTTAAGTTCCTACAAGTTTTGTGAAAATGAGGCGACCGAGTGAAGAAGAGATCCTGGAAATGTCTCCACTGGTGGAGCAGCTTTCTGGGGAGCTGCCGGACAGGGGGCTTGGTGGCTGAACTTGCAGGCAGTTGGTTACTGCTCTGTGGAGCCCTGTTCTCGCCTGCATAACTCCTTGGAGAAAATTAGCAGGAAAAAGGGTAGGATTGTCCATGAGGAGGTTTGCCCTGGGGTTCAGTAGCTCTCCACTATCATCTTCTTTGAGGATGTAGTGTCAGCAGATGGTCATTTCTGTAGTTAAAGGAACCATTTGTCCTCTTTGTCTCTCAAGATTTTGCAGTTGCAGTGACCTGGTGTAGTGGAAAATGTTGGCTTTAGCCTCCCTGTTCTGTAATTTGTCCATCTGTATGATGAGAATCATATTTAGCTTAGCCTATGCGTGTTTCTTCTGCAAATCCCAGAGATCCAGGATATCTGCAATGGCACTCTGTATTTTGTAGCCATTCTCCTCTCTCCTCTCTCCTGTGCCCTAGTCTTTCATCTCTACCTGTTTTCCTGAGTTGTAGTAACATCTTTCTCTTTTTCTCCCTCCCCAACGCTACATCTAGCATGGTTTCAGTGATGTGAAGGTGGAGGACACAGCCAAGGGCCACATCGTACTCCTCCAGGAGGCAGAAACCCTCATTCAGATTGAGGAGGACTCCACACACATCATCTGTGACAACGATGAACCTTTGAGGGTGAAACTGCGTGACCTGGTTCTCAAATTCCTGCAGAAATTTTAGCTCATGGACATCATGCTGCTCCGCAAGGAGAGACTCCAGGGCACCAGCGCTAAGAGCTTTCCAGAGAGTGACCCCAGGGAGAGAGAGAGAATTTCTTGATTCAAAAAGACCAGAAACCACCTTCCCCTTCATGGAGAAGCAAGGAAGTATTTTTAATATCTATTTTTTAAATTTTATTTTTAACTGATTTTGGAATACTTTGGAGGGAATTCCTGTTCTGTAAAACTGGGAGTTGGAATCTTATAGGAGACACGAACTGCAGAATAAATAGAGTGTGTATTTACAAGGTCAGGGTGAAATTGTGTGCAGACGCAGACATTTCTCTTTGTGACCCTCTCAGCAATGTATGCCCCAGTCCTTTACCTGAGAAAACTCTGTCGGAATATTGAAACAATGGCCTTAGATAGCAAGAGATTTATTTTTCTCCCCGCTGCTTCTTCCCAGTCACCAGATCCAATTTCCTGTGTGTCCTTCCTCTACATTGTGCGTGTGTATTTCACTGGCACAAAGAGGAATGAGAAAGCTGGTAAGGCAAAGATTATCAAAATAAAAATAGAAAAAGGGGGCTATGCTGGATATATAGAATAGCTTTGAAGCAGCAGGAGCCTGGCTGTTCCCTCAAAAGCGGAGGAATTTTGGAAAAACTATATGCTTTAGCAATGCAAGGTGTTTATTGATGCTGCACCCTCACCCGTTACGACCAGATTTGTCCACCTAGCTCTAGGCTCTTCACTGAGATACGTGAAAGTCTGGTTTCTCCTGGGTTCCTCCATCATCAGTGGAGGAAGAATCTCAGGAAGATGCTTTCAAAAGTACATAAAGTAGTTAGTTAAACTCCTAGTGCTCATAAAAAACCTTTGAGATTTAAGTGCCTCTTGTTTCCACCTTCCAAAAACCTGTCCTTTCAGCCCCCACAATCCCAAATCCTGGTTGAAATACTGAGTCATTTGTACAAAGCCATCTGTACTGCAGACCTGGGGAGGTTTTTCACTCCCCAAATCATATATTTGGGGCCTAAACTTAGTTAATAATACTGCTTTTAAAAGCGACCAATTTCTCAGATTTACTGCTGTTTGTTTTTTTATTGGATTGTTTTGTATTTATTTGGTGTTAAAAATAAAAAACATAGTAAGACTGCCAAGGAGGAAGCACATTCTGTGGTTTATAAAAGCATCTGCATGCCTGCTCCACATCCGCCTGTGTGTGTATATACACATTTGTAAAATAACTGCTCCTTCAGTTTATAGCTTTGGGGAGATTAAGGCAGTGGAAGAACAACTCTCTAATAAAAACTATTTGCTATTGCAGTTTCCACATCACATTTTGTACACATTAAGGATTTCTGTTCAACTGGATGTACAGACTCCAGCATCCATGGCTTTCCTTTGTGTGTATGTCATGGGCGTGAGAGAAATAGTATCATTAATGTGATAAAAAACTTGTTGCAGTAGCATTAATCCTCATAAGACTTTACAACATTTGCAGTAGCTCAGCTTCTTTATCATCACTTGAAAATAGAATAAAAGAATTGGACATATTTCACGTTGTAATTAAATCGCCAAAAAGATTATTCTTAACACACAGAGGCCATGGGATAAACTCAGCTGAGCTGAGGAGGCAGGGGGAGAGGGAAGAGTGGGCCTGGTAATACAGGAGTCCTTGAGGGTGGCTTTTGACTTGTTACCTGGACGAGCTCCAGCATTGCTCCCAGTGCTCCAGAGCCTTCGTTTTGTGAATATACTCATTTGCATTTATAATTGTAAGGGACTTTGCTTGTGGCTTTAAGAAGCCAGACCCGAGGCTGTGCGTTAGTGTTTGTTGCATCCACCTTGGCTGAGGCCGGGCAGGCCGGCGGCGTGCCGGTGGGCGGACATGAAGGCAGTAATTTTCGCTTGGTGAAGGCTGTGCTTGAGCAGCTGAGTATTGGGAGCGCCGAGTCAGCGCGCTGCCACCGAGGGCTCACAGGGGACCTCGCGGGAAGCAAGCGGCGGGTGCAACAATTCACCATGAAGAGCTTATTTGGGGGCAAAGAACAAGGAAAAAATCAGTTTACCGGCACAGTGGAAGCCCACCACAAACCTGAAATTCCTCCTCTGTTTTGTCCTGATGCCTTTTGGGACAAGGGAAGCAAATTCAGTAATTAGCACTTCATGGCTGCTTATGAACCACAACGCCATCCCTTCATTGGGTGTGATGCCGTGCATCTGAACCACCGCTGACCTTTCCAGCTTGGGTCCACCAAGCTTTTGGGTCAGCGTGGGCTCTGGCCCATGACTTTTCCCCTCTCCAAACTGCTGTTGGAGGCCACGTGGATGCAGCTGAGCAGAGCTGCAACTCCCTGGTGGTCAATGGGTTCTGAGTGCTCAGTTCCCATGACCTGAGGAGTGAGAAGTATTAAAGCCCAGCTACAGAGGTTCAAGAAGACCTCGAATGGAGTAGAGCTGAGTTGTAGCTACCTGTAGTCAAGAGGATTCCCTTGAGCCAGAACCCAAGAGCTGAACTTGCTGGGCACTGACACGCGCAGGGACGCTTCTGTGACATTTATGTGGTTATGCGACACGGAGCCCTGCAGTAACAGGGCTGCGGATTCACTGACGTAAAAGATTTAATGGAGCTCTGTGTTTCTCTTGACTCTGCAGGTGTACGAGGGCAGGCAGGCAAGAGAGATTTGCTGTCTTTGCTGAAGTTACGCAGTCCAACGAGCTCGGCACATCAGGGGAGAATAACCGCCTGATGTACTCCTCCAGCACGGCCTCGTTAGACAGCCAGGTTAGACAGAGAGGCTTTGCAGATCTCAAGGTATTAAGGAAATACTTAAATGTAAAGAGTGAGACAGCCTGTGTCGGCCACAACAGCTGCTCCACAGGAGTGACTAGTGTATAATTGGGCCAAATAAACCCTCAGCCCCTCAGCCCCCATGGAGATCTCTCAGTGCTGCCTAACTTGACAGACCTAGAGAGATCCAGTCTAGTCCTGCCTCTGATGGATGATTTTGGACACGTTCCTGGCTTAGTGCCTCACTTTCCCCTTACGTGAAATAGAAATCGTGCCAGCATCCTTTGCAGGCTGCCTTGAGACTTACAGCTGAAAGCTGCTGCGGCAGAAGTCGTATTAAAAGCACAGGGGTTTGAAGGTAATTCGGGAACTGGGGGTGGGCTGCTGTGCTCCTTAACAGGATTAAAAATGTACTCAAACTCAACCCTTGTTAGTTTTTAGTTTTTAGCTTGGTTCACTACCGAAAGGCAACTGGTGCGATTGGGCTGGCACACCAAAATCCTTATTTGAGGTGCAAAGCTCTGGCTCCTACCAGTAACAGCCATGCTGATATTTTTATCAGGTCATCTGGAAGCTAATGGCTTTCCAAAGGCTTTCCCACCCTCCTGGGCTAAAACAAAAAAATCAATTTAAAAGTTTTTGCTTTTTTATTCCTGTCATTTTGGGCAGGAAAAGTTTTTACTGCTCCAGTCCAGCATCTGAAAACTGATTCATTTCTTATAAACGGAAAGGTTGTGCCTGCTGGAAAAACAAACATACTGAGGAGGAGTCTTTAATGAAAAATCTTAATTAAACTCGCAAAAATAAGTGCTTGTTCGTTCTGCACAGAGGAAGAAAAATAAATAGCATTTCTTTGGGCTGGGTCAGTCCTGCAGAGGGAACCGTGGCAGGCCAGGAGAGCTGCGAATGGAGGGGGTGGAATACGACGGATGGCAAATATGTTTTAACCAGAGCTGCACGCTGTCATGGACAAACAACAGCAAAGGTACTTGGTTTCACTCTTTTTCTTCCAGAATCGGGGCGGAGGGGAATCCCCTTGGCCACTGTGTGATGTTCATTGTGCCACGTCCCTCCCCAGTCCTCGTGCCCACGTGGGACGTGGGAGTCCCACATCCCGTGCTGCGCTTCACCGGCCTCTCCGCAGCTCCCCTAATTAAACGCCGATAGTGGTGGGTTTGCAGCTGGGCTGCTTCTAAAGCAGCCGCTTTGCAAGGCTGCACCTTGGTTCCCTGACAAGTGATTAATTCTCAGTGCTCTTCCCAACCTGTGCGCTCCCGCAGTGCAGCCAGGGCTGCATCCCTGGGCTGGGGAATAACGGGGAGAAAAGGTTAAAACTCTGCGCTTGGCTGGCTTTTATGGAACAGGTATTCGTGGATGGAGAGAAGTGTATTGTGGTTTCTTTCTATTCATGTAAGCCTTAATAAAAACAACTGGACCGAGTCATTTAATTCCAGGCTCACGCTGTCCCCACCATGCCCAGACGCAGTCGGTGTCACTGGGGCTCAGCTGGCCCCAATGCCACCTGATGGGTGCCCTGAGCCACACCAGGGTCACCTCCCTGGGGACTTGGGGGGGGAGTGAGGAACAGCTGGAAGCAAGATGTTGGGTCTGTGCCCCACCAGCAGCTCAGCCTTTGGGAGGAACGGAGAAGCTGACTGCAGAGGAGTTTGCGTTCAGCTGCACATCATGGCCTGGGCAGGCTCCTGACGGGGAAGGTAAAGCGGCTCAAGCAGGTCCCCATTTACCCATCACCTGGGACCTGTGAACCCATCCCTTGGGGACCCATCACCTGGGACCAGTCACCTGGGACTCATCACTGAGGATCTACCACTTGAAACCCACCACCTGGGCCCCATCGTTTTGGGGACCCATCACCACATGTTGTGGCCCACAGGGAACAAGCCAAGCCTCTCCCTATGACCTTGGGGTTACAGCCAAGCCCCCCTGCCCCGGGTCCTGCTCTGCGGGGCCCGCCATGGGGACCTGTGTTCTGCGGAGGCAGCTCTGTGGGCTACAGGGGATTCTCGCCCGTGGGGACGCTTGGGGGCCATGGGGCACCGCCTGGGAGCACGGGGCAGCCCTGGCCAGGGAGCAGTGGCAGGTGAGATGCCCTGGGCAAGGCTGCCTGAGGGTCGGAGAGCATGGGCCGCATCCTGCTTCTCTTCCATGGACTGATGCCACACAGTCAAAGTGGCACCATAGCATAAATCCAGAGGGATTAATTGAGCCCTAGGAAGTAGTGGTCTTCCTAAACTTCTGTTTCAGAAGTCACGGCATCAGTTTGCTGTATTTTTACTGGCAGGGTTAAACGATTAAAGGCTCTTGGCCTTGATTACAGCAAAAACTTAAATTATTCCTCCACCTTTTCTCTCCCTTGGCCCTATCCCTGACTGTCCCTGAGTGTCCCTAGGACACGGTCCTCTCCTTGCCCCTGAGCACACGGAGGGGTCATGGCTCCATCTCAAGCGTGGCGAGACCAGGTTGCCGCGGGTAATTAAAGCTACGTGAGCGAAT